CAAACACCGTAGTTATAAGAGGAAGGGCTTTATTCATTGGCCGGGTACAGCATAGATTTCTAAATGGCCACTTTCCCTGACTGGCTTGGTCTTTCCCTCTTTATTGACAGTCAAAAAGTTCCACCCTACAGGTACCCTTCCCATTAGCCAGTTTGAATCAAGCAAGAGCTGCTACTCCAGCCCCTACAGAACTACAGGATTTCACAGAACTTGAAAATCTCCAAGTTCCAGGAAGTTAAGCCTGTATTCCCAAGAGCTGAGTCACCATGGAAAGGGCCCTGCAGGTGCATCCTCATGGTCTCGCTGAGAAGACCTGTTCTCCCGGACTTCATCCTTCTCCGGTATCCTCTCTCACAGCCATCATTGTTGTTTGGTGGACCAGGCTGGATTTGAACCCGCCAGCTCAGGAGTATGTGGCTGGCGCCTTAGCCGCTTGAGCCACAGGCGCTAAGCCTCAAAATATTTTTTATACCAGGGAATCATATTAGAGGGTAAAATTTCCTTAGCTACTTCAAGGGCAAGACACAAGACTGGATCCCACAGAAGGAAACACCCCTTACCTGGCTGGGAAATGAAGCTGAGCCCTCAGTTCTGCAGTCTGTGTCACCTTGTAGTTCAGGGCAGGCCCTGCCTAGAATATGTCCACACACAGCAGCAGCAGGTTTGGGAACCAGGGTTTCCTTGAAGTCCCAGTGGCTGGATGAACCCCTACCCTGTCCCTCAGATGACCACATCCTTCACAAGCCCTTTTCCTTCTCAGAGGCTCTTCAATACTCAACTTCTGAATGACTCCCTCCAAGTGGGGTTCCCATAATCCCCTCTTTGGATTTCATTAATTTGTAGAGCAGCTCACAGAACTGTGGGAAGTACTTACTTTTACTTGTTTATTGTGAAGGATGTTGCAAAAGATACAGATGAAGAGATGTATAGAGAGAGGTGTGGAGAAGGGACGTGGAAGTCCCAGGCTCTCCGCAGGGGCAATGTGTCCCTTTCCAGAAACCTCCACATGTTCGGCCATCTGGAATCTTCCCAAACTCCCTCTTCTTGGGCCTCTTATGGAAACTTCATTGGATATGACTGATTGACAACCATGTAGAAATGTGATTGGACGTGGACATAAAGGGTAATGATACTAATACAGTGGGGAGACCTAGCAAGGCTCATCTGTTCAGATTCTCCTTGGCCTCTCTGTGTAGCACTCCTTCCTCTAGGGTACGGGGCAGGGCCTTCTCTGGAGTAGGGTTTTGAGGGGTGAGTAGGGGTTCATCAGACTGAACATGTAGTCATTCATTCATAAGCATCCCTAGCCACCTCTTACACGCGCCCTGAACTACAAGGTGACACAGACTGCAATCAAATTAGAATCCCTACTTGAGCAGGGGAAAGAGGGCAAGGGAATGTCTGAGAGAGAGATTTAGTTTCCCCAGGCTGCTTCTGAAGCCGAAAGTATTCCAACATTTTAACAAAAGACTCCCTCTCCCTCCCTCTGTCTCTCTCTCTCTCTCTCTCTCTATATATATATATATATATATATCTCAACTAAATATTAAACTAGTCACTTTTAAGATACCAAACTTGACTTTGGAGAGGTAATGCTTACAAAGTCCTCATAAGAAAAGTGACCTTATATCTGGCCTACTGGGTCAGCTTTACAGAGGGGTCCTGGCCAACTGAGAACCTTAGGATAAATTGGAGATACCAAGAGGAAAGGAATTTGCTAAAACCTAGGAATGCTGCAGGTAAAACCTGGGGAGGTGTGTGCTCTGAGTTAGGAAATGATATAAGCTTTTTGATTTTTGTTTTTGAGACAGAGTCTCACTCTGTCACCCTGGGTAGAGGGCTGTGGCATCATAGCTCACAGCAACCTCAAACTCCTGGTGTCAAGTGATCTTCCTGCCTCAGCCTCCAGAGTAGCTGGGACTACAGGTGCCCACCACCACAATGCCTGGCTAAGGAAATGACATAAGCTTTTGAAAATACAATGTGAGATTCCTTATGGAAAACTCCAGGAAGACAAACAGAAGGAATCAGGACAAATCCAAGAAGTTCTGCCAAGGAAAGTCTTTGAGATTACTTTTTTTTTTAAATTTTGAGACAGAGTCTCACTATGTCACACTTGGTAGAATGCCATGATGTCACAGCTCACAGCAACCTCAAACTCTTGGGCTTAAGCGAGTCTCTTGCCTCAGCTTCCCAAGCAGCTGGGACTACAGGCACCTGCCACAACATCCAGCTATTTTTCATTGTAGTTGTCATTACTGTTCAGCTGGCCTGGGGTGGGTTTGAACCCACCACCCTTGGTGTATGTGGCTGGCACCATAACCACTGTGCTACCAGTGCCTGAGATTACTTTTTAAGAAAAAGGACTTTTTCCTCTCCTCTGCCCAGATCGTAAGGGAAAAGTCAGTTTTGTTCCACTTGTACATAATTTTCAATATTCCTGATCTATAAATCTATCTGATCTTTGGATTCTCCTTTGAACATCCAACCAGTTCCCTCATCAATCATGAATCACATAAAATCTTTTAACATGTTCATTTTACATCAGTATGAGAATTGTGATTTTTTTCTTTCCTTGAAAACTATCCTATAACATACCCTGTTGAACTCAGGGGCCTAAAACTGTCATTCTAGCTCCAGATTTTACTGCTAGTTGGGGATTTGCACACTTACCTTGATCTTTCCTGGAACACCTTGATTTTTTCCTCCAGAAAACACATTCTTCCAAACTTCCCATACAATGTCCCTACCACATCCTCTGGCTAAATCCTTATTACCCAGTGTGGGGTCAGCATGACAGGGATGCTTATTGAACGAATGATTACATTTTCAACTTGATGGACCCATGCTCATTGTTCAAAATCCCTTTACTCTGGCTGTGGGCTCATCAACCTCTTGGCCTCTCTCACTAGCCCATCCTTGACCCTATGGGATGAGGGATATCTATCTGGCTCTGAATTCCCTGGACCGGGAAATCTCTGTCTAAAACCTCTCAGGGGCTCCAGTACTGTATAGGTATAGAGAAGGGGGAATTCCTGAATTATCAAATGAATCACAACATCAGAAATATTTATTAAACATTTCATTTTATTTTCAATGGGGCAAGATTCTTCATCATGGGGCAGAATTTTCCATGTGGGCTTCATGGGATGTGCTGAGGTTATCCAGTTGATGAGCAGTAGACACTAAGAGCCAGAGATCAGAAAAAGGGTGGGGAACTGAGCTCTCACTGATCTTCTAGCAGCTCCCTCCCAGGACACCGGCCATCACTTGAGGCAGACCTTCCTGTGAGATGTGGCCACGGGTTTGCAGACATCTGGCTTCTCACCCTGCAGGGGAAGCCATAGGTTTGAGTCCTGAAGGGAGACCTCCACCCTCACCTGCTGAATCTCTCTGCTCCTTACCCAACCTACCTGGTACAGCTGGCAGACAACAGCCAGGAGCAGGCTAGGGTCCTCCAAGACTTTCTGCACAAAGCAAGACAGGAGGTTACACAGTCTCACCTTCCCCAACTCACAAATGTTGATCCCCATGTGGAAAGGGCTGCAAACAGTCACAAGTATGGCCTGTGCCTCCCGCTTTCCAGACTACTGGGCACATCCACCACCCTGGTCCTATCCCAGGGATAAGCAGAGGGCTGCAAGGATTCTTACCCCATTGACGAGGACCCAGGGTACATATTCATGGGGTGGCTGCAGGGCATCCGTCAACTGAGCATTCATGTGCATGAGCTGCATGCCACGGTCCCCCATTGCACACTCCATGATGGTGTCTGGTGACACTTCTGGGGCATAAAGCTCTAAACACTGTGAGAGGGGAGCTGGGGTGTTGCCTCAGCTTCCTCCTTGTTATCTCCCCAACGGTCCCCCCACCAGCCCTGAGCTCAGTGTGTTTCTTCACTGGGAAGAGGGGACAGTCAGCTTTTACAGTGACACAACAATGCCTGCAAAGAGTAGGTGCTTAATACTTGCTGAGTGGAGGCCCTGAAGTAGAGGCTCAGACTGTTCCTGCCTCTCAGCTCCCTTGCTGTCCCCTTTAAGACCAGACCTGCAACCTCTGGCCTCCATGGTATCACACTTTCCTCAGAGCCTCCATGCATGCTGATCCCTTTGCCAGAAGCACCCTGCCACCTTCTTCCCCAGTGTCTCCTCAGTGTCTTCACTGACCAGTCTCAGTTTGACACTGCAGGGTTGGGGATATCTCTGTGTGAGGCCTCTTAGATGGCCCACATGTTTGATGAATGAATAAATGATTGTGGCAGATGAGTCACTCCTTTGGGAGTTGTTTTTCACAGTCCCCCAGAGAAGTAGGCAGGGCCTGTCCTATCATTTCTACATCCCATTATCTGTGCCCCTGCACATTCCTGGACATTTTTCCATACCCAGCTCACAGATGCCTCTTCCAAGAAGTCCTCCCTGACTCCTGCACCCAAGAGCCTATGTTCCCCCAATTCAGAGATGTGACTTCCAAAAGGGGATCTGTTTCCCTGGGACTGCACAGACAGTGGTGGTCAGGGCCAGGACTTGAACCTGGATCTGCCTGGGCACAGGGAAGGCCACCTGTCATACTTGTTCCCTTCTTCATGCCAAGTGAGGGGCATCACTCACAGGTTTGAGATTTTTTTCCATGTCCTCCAACTCCTCAATGCAGACAATAGTGAGGAAGGCTACTGTGGCCTCCAGCTTGTCCAATATGCAGGCCTAGGGATTGTGGGGAACAGGCAGGGGAGTGAGGGGGCACAGAGCACCCCAGTACCCTCTGGGATTAACTGCAGGTGCTCACTAAGGATGCGATGAATGAAGACATGGTGAAATGGAGGGACATGAGGTACAGGACAGGGGTGGGAGTCTTGAATTCACCTTCCCTACACCAGGCAGTTTCCCCAAACTCTGCACATGCTGGTCTGGGCTCCCGGGGCTGCTCACCTCCACCTTGTTGAGCTTGCACTCCTCTTCTCCATGCTGGCACTCGAATACCCACTTGCCACTGACGTTTTTTTCCTATAAGGCAGCAGAGTAAGTGCTGGCTGGCAAGCTGGGTACCTCCTTCCCCTGTCCTTGTGCCTCAGCCTCAGTTTCCCCAGCAC